TCTCTCTCTCTCTCTCTCTCTCTCTCTCTCTCTCTCTCTCTCTTCAGAAAGGTTCCATGTCTGAAAAAGTTTGGGAACCACTAGGCTGAGGAACCAGCAATATGCAGATGACACTCAGCTCTACCTCTCTTTTTCATCAAGTCCAGATTAGTATTTAGGAATAATTTTGTATAGGGCTGCATATTAAACATTCATGTTAAAAAACTCCGACTGGCCTGAAGGTTCAGTGTCTAACTGCAAGAGTCAACGAACTACCAGCACAATCCAACCCCGCACCTTCAAAAGCAATTTATTGAAGCATGCATCCAACCATGCAGAGAAGCCTGTATCTCCTTCAGAGAAACCAGTGTCGGCCATTAGGAATCCAAATGTTTTATACCTTAAGAGCAAATATTTTGGCCTTTCCCTATCTGTACATTGATCCTGCCTTTTGCACATGGTTAGCTAGAGAAAGTAGGCCACATTCCACACGAATCTTAACATTGGACAGTTAAGCATATAGTTAGATACCAATAATTGTGTTCTCAGCATTATTACAACAATTTCTGTTACACTAGCCTTACATTCATGCACAGAAAATTTTTGACTTTCTGTATGACTTCAGCAGCACTCTTTGCCTCAAGGCCTCAGTAACATTAGAGTTCAAATTGAAATTTGTATCAAGAAGGGAAAAACAACAATGGGCACAATTCTTGTCCCTGCACCAAATGTGTAATATTTTGTGTGCTTAGAAACAAAGAAAGAAGCTACAACCCCCAGTCTGGCTGGGCGATTCTTAGGCCTTTTTCCTGTCATAAATAGTTTATTTCGAGTAAAGCACTGTTCTGCAGTTTCAGCAAAATCACAAAGGTTCTTGTGCCATCTGAAAGGCTAACGCATTTATTAAAACATAAGCTTGGTTTAGCTTGTTATGTGCCACAAGTGTTGGCTAAATTATGTCTGCATAACTCCTGCTATTCTCCATCATGTGCTGCATTAGAAACCACAGACTGGTAGCAACATAATCATAGCCGTCTTTTCATCTTTTCGTTTGCTTGTTCGAGCACAGTTCGAGAAAGAGCTCTCGAAACACTGCACGCCAGAGCGTCACATTTGGGTTGACCCTTATATAGGACTGCAGCCCGCACTCCCAATTAGGTGAGCAGAGTCAAAGAGGTATTAAGAATCACTCTTCTTTTCTTACAACAGTTCAAAGATGGGCGGGGCGAGGAGGAAATGGCACTAAAGGATGACGTATAGGCTACGCACATAGATTTGCAAACGTCACATTAAGGAATCTAGACGGCCGTACGTGCAGGACCCGGAAGTGACGTAGGGGTCTGTGTAATGGGGTGGTAATGGCGGTTGTGGGTGGGTGTTGTTGAAGTCTCCGCTGCCCTGGTAGGTAAGAGGCCTCCTTAGCTAGTGGTTGTTGTTTTTGCGTCTTTCCCTATTCATGTTAAGCGTGTGTGTGTGTGAAAGTATATTTATCCTCAGTACCTTCCCTCGTCACGGCGCTGGTCGTGTCTGTCGTAATAGCGTTGTCTTCGTCTCCTCAAGGCTCGGCTAACCGTTTTGTGCTACAGGTGTGAGTGTTTGTGTGCGCGCGCGTGTGTGCGCGGTTGATGGTATGTCTGCGCGTTAGAGTAAATTTGCGAGTTCTCTTCCTTTTTGAGGTGATTTAGGGGTTGGGTCTGTTGTCCCAGGTGGAGGTGGGGGGGGGTCAGACTTGGCTGTTTGTGAATATACGATTACAACGTAAGATGGTAGTTACAGGTAAGAATGGGCCAGACTGCGAAGGGTTCCAAGGTTATGGGGTGGAAATTGCGAGGGAGAGGGCGGCTTATGTGCGTGCGAGAGATATAGCGAAATGTTATTTCTGTTTAATCTGATATATGTGGGATGTTACGTAAGCTGTGAGAGGATTATGGAAAAAGAGTGCAAGCTTGGAGGGGTTAGACTGGCAGGGAGGGAAGAGTATTGCTGGAAGCAAGGAGAAGGTTGGTGAGAAAGCAGGTAAATCTGCTTGGAGAGAGTGAACTCCATGTAGGGCTGTTCTGCGGTTGCAGCGTTGCAGAGGGGGCATGCCTTTCACTGTGAAGTGTATAAACAAGCTGTTTTTGTTTCACTTCTAGCAGCCTTTATTGCTTTCAAATTCTAGATAGACTTTTGTCCTTGAAACAGCAGGAATTCGTGGCTACTCTTGGCTAAGTTGCATTTGTAAATAAGTGCTTTGTAAATAAGGTTTGCAGGCACAGTAGTAACTTTGCTGGAATGGGTTGTAACTTGTAAGGGATGAAGTGAGGTGTGTTAGTATATCCTTAAATTACAGATACTACCTGTAGATCCACATTCATATTTTCCTTGGTGTAACTAACTGTTGCAGCTGCATGCCTATTATATCAGGGCATGCTGTGTGTTTTTAAGCTAGTTCTTCTGTAAATTTCAGATGAAGTAGTTTTGGTAAGTTATTTATTAGCTTCTGTTAGCTTCTGTACTTTAAGTGAACTTGAGTAATATTTCTTTTCAATATTTCTATTTACACTGGAATCTGAAAAAGTACATTTGTTATGTTTGTATCTAGTGAAAAGAGAATCAGTGGCATATAAAACATATAGAAAATAGTTTTTGCTCTTGTTTCATTATCTTACGGAGCATCATGAACATAAAAGAAGCCATACTGAATCAGTGTAAAGGCCTATCTAGTGCAACATTAATTAAGAATAAGTTGTAGGGAATGAGAACATAAAAACCCTGTTGGATCAGATTGGGGTAGTCTAGTATTTTGTTTCATGCAATTTACTATTATGTGTTTTCAGAAAGTCTTGAAGCTATCATTCCCACTACTTTATATCTGGTATTCAGTGACAATATCCTGAAGACATTACCACAAGGCATTAAGTAATTAAATAAGAACTGTTTCCTGTGCCCAGCATTGTCCCCAAGTGTATTCACAAAACCATGTTAGACTTTATTGCTCTGAGAACAAGTAGGTCCAAAATCAAATTAAGCTAGAATTTTCCTTGAACACAAACATGAGAAAACTGAAGCTGTCATACTTTGGGTACATCCTGAGAAGATAAGACTGGAGAAGATAACCATGCTAGGCAGAGGCAGAAGAAAAGGAAGAGCACATATGAGATGGATTGATTCCATAAAAGAAGCACAGCCTTGAATTTACAAGAGCTGAACAAGGCTGTCGAGGACAGGACAGTTTGGAGGGCATTCATCTGTAGGGTTGCCATAAGTCAGATGACATGATGACACTTAACAACATGGATTATTGATGTACTGTGTAAAGTATTTTGTATTTCTCAAGCAATTTCTTTAGAAGGTCCAAATTTCTTGTTACATTTAGGTTCAACCAATCTGGAAATATACAATCCATTTTGGAATACTTCATGGCCTGCCTAGGTTTTCATTATCCTGAATAATGAGATGTTATCAGAAAGTGTGGCCATCTTGCGACTCACACCGAATGCCAGGTGGTTTCTGACAGCATTTTGGGATCCATAACTGGAACACACTGTCATAAGAGATTAAGTAGGAACTCTTTGCATTGTCTAGCACAGTACAGTCCACAAGTGTAGCCACAAATAATTGTTAGGCTTTATTGCTCTGAGAAACCTGTAGGGCAGAGCTCTGTTGAAGGCATTAGTTCAACAGCTACCAGATGCTGTTGATTCCTTGCTTCATCCATGACAAAGGGTGTTTGTACACCCTTCTGCTAAAGTCAATTTGAATAATTGGGCCTTCTTTCATCCTCCCTCCCTTATCTACCAGGAAGTGATGCTAGCTTGTGTACACTGATAGCCTCTGATACTAAAACATTTAATTGGGATAATTAAGAGTGAAAATGGGAAAAATGCAACTTAAGAAGTAAATGAGGAATATTTTATAGGTTTTTTTTATGTGCACAGGTAGAAAATTATCACTGGGTACAGTTAGATTGTATATAAAGGTATTCTATAATTAAGATTTCTTGGGAGCTGGATTCACCTGAAAGCATTTTGTAAGTACATGTATTTAACATCCAATGGATAACTCTTATCTATATACTTGCTGATCATAAAAGAACAGCACTCTAAAAAGCTGGTATGGAAGGACTTTCCATTTAATAAATCCAGTGATGTTTCCTTGGCAGGGTATTTTTTAATATACATAGAATAGTAGAGTTGGACCTGATGGCCTTCATGGCCCTTCCAGCTCCCTGCTATTGCAGGGCACCAGTTTATTCCATCTTATGCAGATAACTGACCATTGACATTTTAAAATTCTTTTCTTAAAGAAGCCTTCTAAATCTGTTCCAGGGATGGTGGTTAAGCTAACAGCCCTGTAACTTTCTATATCTTAGTTTTAAAAATTGCTAGTGTGTTTCTTATTCTCAAATCCTTCCATATGGAAGCTAGTTTTGGTAATGATGCATAAATGTTGGTTACATGGGTTTTGCAGAAGAACTTGCATTGGACTTTTTTTTAGTGTAAATTTAATTATTTGAAATGAGGTAATTGTTGTGGGATTCAGTAAAATCCTCATAGCTTGTTGGGTTGCCTGTGCGTGGATGACACAACAAACCATTGTCAAGCCAAAAAATAAAATAAAAATAAAAACCTCTTGGCAAGAGTGGAAGAAAGAGTTGCTGCTGTAGCCAAGGGGCTCTGGTGGCTGCCACTGACTGCACCCCAACCCCTGTGCAGTCCTACAAAAGTAGCTGTCATCCCAGTACTGCTCCTCGGTCACTCCAGCAGTGTGCCCTGGGATACTTAACTAGAGGACTGATTGGGGTGGAAGGAGACAACAATAACCTATGGTGAAACTGAACATTTGCCAAGGCTGCTTACCATGACACACTACTGCATCTTTTCAGTAAAATGTTGCATTTTCTCAGGGTCAGTGATATAGTCTTTAGGGGATATGGGTGACTTAAGAATTGATATTTTTTCCTTTTCTGATCTTTATCTTTACCCCCTTTTTCAGCAAGGTTTGAACAACAGCCAGATGATACAGCTTGTTTTGCATACTTTTATAAAGCTAAATCACAGATTGTACTTTCTTATTCATTTAAGAAATACCTGTATTTGTGCAACTGTGGGGATGGGGAACCTTGTTTGGGCACTTTTAAGGGCAGGGGCCCAGTCAAGCATTGCCTTGCAGGAGCTGCATATAGGTTTATTTTTGCCTTCATTTCCATTGAACAGCTTTCAAATGTAACCTAGAACACAAATGATCTAGGTTTGCAAAAGTTGGGGAGCACCTTGTTCATCCCTTTCATGGCAAGATCCTCCTGTCCTGTCCAAATTTCTATGCATGAAGAGTGCACTAACTTTTACACTCGTTCTGAGATTCTCCCACAGGTAAAACAGCAACCTTCCTGAGTTACAGGAGTAACCACTTTTGACAGTTGTCAGAAGTAAAGTTCCATTTTTAACATGGGATTTCCTGGCAAAGATGTTTTGAATCTCTCTAAATCCCTTTTTAAAAAATGGACCTTTTTTGGCAGCTGTTAGAAGTAGGCACCCCTTTCTTGCACTTGTAGAGCTGCTGATGTCTACACTTGCACAAGTGTAGGTAACTATTTAAAAAAAATAACTGCAGTATTTACAAAAAAATGTGTGTGGGGGTAAAAAAGCCATGGGCAGCCTCTCTAAAGATGTTGCTAGGGATGTTGAAGCAACTGTCTGTGTTTTTCAAAACTCAGATAACAAAAATCAGGTTTTTTTGAAATCCTGGAAACAAGTGCAAAAAAAGCTACAGCAAATGCCAAATGTTTTGCTAGAGCATCAGAGAGGAGTGGGAAAGCCAGTGCCACCTTTTCCTCATGCCAGTTAGACACTTTGGGGGCAGCTGATACTGGCATATGCCTGGACACATTCAGCAAGAGACTGTGCCACTCTTGCCAAGTGTGTCACGGCTGATTTCCTATACTCACAAAGTGGTTGATTGCATGGGTTAGATCATATGACAGCCTATCATGGATATACCAACCTATGGTTTGGTAGGGTGGCTTGCTGCCCCTCATGCATTCATGGGGGCTGGGATGCAGGACCCCTGTGGAAGTGGAATCGGCTACAGAATCGGACTTTTTTTTTTTATCAATGGCTACAGAATCGGAACTCTAATATGGGCTAAAATACAGAGCATTTGTGGAGAAGACTTTGTACACAGTATGTTTGAAGTCTTCAGAATAATTATTTGTTTAGTGAGTAGAAAACAATAAAACTTTAGAACCTAAAAAAACATTCTAAATACCACATTCTAAATGTCTATCTCTGTGGCTGATAGAAATAGAGAGGTACATTATAATTTTATCAAACAGCATTTTATATAGGATATGCCAGTGCTGTAGACTATACCATGTGGTATGTGCATTCTCATCTTACTACTGTATTGAGTAGACACAAGCTAAAACTGAAATGAAAACACCACAGACAATTCTATCTTAAACTTTCCTAATTTAAGTCCAATAGTTTTAACTTTGCATCATTTCAATGCTTTTAGCTTTAATAGAAAATTATTATTTTACAGAACAACTATGTCATCCTTTCAAGAAATTCCATCTTCAAGCAGTAACCTTCAAACTTCAAATTTTGCACATGTCATCTTTCAAAATGTAGCAAAAAGTTATCTTCCTAATGTGCATCTTGAGTGCCATTACACTTTGACTCCATATATAAATCCCCACCAAAAAGATTGGGTTGGTATTTTCAAGGTAAGTAAGCTTGTACCAAGTTCTAATATATGTTCCACTTTTACCTTGTCTTGAAAAGATGAGTGGAAGGTAAAATAAAATGACTGTATGTTCATATATATAATTACTTGCACTTATTTTAGCAGAACTCCATTTTATAAAATTGTACAGCTGGACAAATACCAATAAGTTAGTGACAAAGCCTGGGTTCGACCAGTATTACTTTGATCGTTAGTATTCTCCTTCCAGCTGTAAGTGTTCTCTGTAAGATTCTTTATTGCACAGGTAGGCAGACTTCAGTCTTGCAGGCCCTATTTCAGCCTATTTACTAGAATATTAAGATTCCCCTGTGGATTCTGATGCAAAAGGCACACATTTAGAATTTAGGAATTTGTTTTGTGTACTTGACTTGAATGCAGGATATACAGTAGGCACACGTGCAATCCTTCCATCTCTGCTTTTCTGGTGTTCATTTAGTCTTGCATAGAAGTATAGGAATGACTTGTAAGTTCCAGTTGAAAACTTGAACATGCTGCTGGAGGATATGCTTATTAGGAATAACTGAAACCATCTATTCCTGATACAACAATCAGTTACTATGAATTTGAAACCCAGCATACTATAGTTGTTAGGAGTTGTCTAGGAGAAGTGATTCTAAGATTCAAATGTCCATTCATTTGGGTAACCTTGGGCCAGTCATATGATTGACTATGCTGGGGATGATGGGATTGTAGACCAACACATCTGGAGGGTACCAGGTTGAGTAAGCTATAATAAACCATCTCACTGCATTGTCAGAATTTAAGTTTGAGCTACTTTTTGAAATAAGGTGTATGAAAAATGCACATCAGTTTTTTGGATATTAAATGTAGGATCTGAAAGTGAACTGTTGTTAATTTGTATGATTAGTTCTATTGTATTAGAAGTGCTGTTTTTTACTTTAGGTTGGCTGGAGCACAGCACGAGACTACTATACATTTCTCTGGTCACCTATGCCTGAAAATTATCAGACAGGATCAACAGTTAACTGTGTGCTGTCTTTTCAAGGCAAGTAACACAAATGGCTAACAGGAGTTTGCCTTGTTTATTTAGTTCTTTATAACCTTATTTATTTAGCTGTTATTAGCATTTCATCAATAACCAGATAAATTGTTGCAAATTATTAAGAATAATAATGGCAAATACTTTCCATGTTGCTGCTTTATCTCCTTTTGTGACAACATCATGCTTGGAGGAGTTTACAGAATAAGTGTCCATATAAAACTTAAAATGGTAATAAAAACACAATTTACTGCAACAAGTCATCTGCAGGTATAAATTACAGTGTAAGAACTCACCACAGTTAGTGTTGAAAAGCATTGAGCCTTGCCTGGGATAAGATACTGGACAATAAAAGACTAATGCAATTCACACTTGTCTTATTCTGTAGCTTTCTGAACTGAAGTGTCTTTATGCTGCAGAGATGAGTGTAATAAATGTGTTGATTTGAAAAATAAGTGTATCTTTGTTTTTCATTAGGATATTATCTTCCAAATGATGATGGTGAATTTTATCAGTTCTGCTATGTGACACATAAGGGTGAGATCCGTGGAGCAAGCACCCCTTTTCAATTTCGAACATCATCTCCTGTTGAAGAATTGTTAACAATGGAAGATGAAGGGAATTCTGATATGTTGGTGGTAACTACAAAGGCTGGACTTCTTGAGGTTTGAATTGGCAAATTCTAGTATTATCCATCCATTTAGATCTTGGAGTTCAGTATTTGTGAAGTTAGAATTTAAGAGTTGAAATGTGGAATTATGAGTGGGGGGAAAAGGACATTTTTCCAAAAATCCCTGAGGCCTAGCAGTAGCTCTCAGCTATCCTGGCACACAGACCTGGTTTGCAGGTCACATTGCAGTTTCTAGGTTCTTTAAAACAGGAATTGAGGGAAATGACCAAAGCAATAAGTGTGTGATTGTCATTTCTGCTTTTTATTAACAGTCGAGGTATGACCTGGTCTTAAGTTGTTTAGTGACACATGAACGACCCTTTCTCATGAGTTAAATATAAATAATACAGTTAATCCAGCAACAAACGATGGACAGTTGTTAGATTAATTTAGGATTGTTTGCCCTGTAAATGACCCAGAATTTTTAGATTCACATATTATGCCATCAAACAGCCTTGGAATAGAGTGTTGTAGGTTGCTAATTTGAACCAGAAATGCGAGCTTATCACTTTGCTTGTCCTTCATAATTTTTATATCAAATTATCAAACATTGTCGCTGACTCTTAAAATGTAAACTCTGTCATCTAGTGCATATGAGAAGATGGGATGTGATCATGCTTGGGTTAATGGATCTGTGCTGCCTGTGGGCTTTGTGCATATACATGCAGATTTATATACAGTTTTCACATATGAAGTACTTGTTTTCAGCTTAGCTGTCTAAAAAACCTCACAGATTCTGTGAGAATGTAAGGTATGATGTAATGTAAAGGTCATTCAAAAGCAGCTGAGGAAGGAAAAACTGACAGAATTGTCCTTTAGCTATGCCACTTTCGATTGATGTTGAGCAAAGCTGCAAAAAACTATGACACAGGATCACTTTTAAATGACTAATTTGTTGTATTGTTATATGCGTGCAGATCAGTTAAAACAATCCATAAGACAAAGATACAGAAGTCAAAGACCAACAGTCCAGCAACTACTTGACATATTTAAAACCTAAATACAACAACATGATATACTAAATTATATATAAATCTGGAAAATATCCTTGCTGATCTTAACTCTGGAAAATATTAATCTTGCAACAGCTTCTGTTAGATATTAACGTCAACCACTAAATAATATACCAGTTTTGAGGGTATTTCAGGTAGTTTATTTAAAGTGTGCACAATAGGAACAAATAGTGCAAGCATCAGAGAAAGAGTATTAGATATCAATGTCCTTGATCAGGGGTACAAAAATAGATTTTGCTGCAAAATATCTTGAGTAGAAAGTAGGAAAAACCTTGAGTCTGTAATTAATCTCTGTCAGTTTTAGACCACTGGCTGATGTAATTGTCTATCTGGAGAAGTGACACATAGCCTGATTCAGAGCTTGTGTAAGCAGGTTTAACCAATATCTGAATACCCAACACCAAGCAATACATTGAGCGTAACCGCCAGTTCTAAAACTGCTGATGGCACACAATTAGGTATTCTAAAAATTTGATGCCAAAAAAAGAAAAAAGTATTTGTTCTGAAGTAGTGGGATGAGGGAATTGTCTAACTTGCTCTGTGGCGTGACCACCTATAGCCCACTCATTCTGGGAGAAGATCCTAGTAAAGCCTGTAGTCTTGGTTTTACCAAACTTAATTGTTAATGCATTTTATTAGATTAGTGTATAAATGCTTTCAGCATTGGTTTTCAGACCAAAGGAAAGAACAGCAGCATTATCTGTATAAAAGAGTATAGGGATACTGAGTGATGCCAATTTTGCTTGAATGTTCTGTGAGGATTAAAGCTTAGATACATAATTAAGATGCAGATTACATAAGGTACAAGCAGAGAACCCTGAGAACCTTAGGTGCAGGATAGTTGGGCAGGGTGCCCTCCATGCCATATCTCGCCTATGCTGTAGTCTTCTGACAAAGGCATAATTGAATCAAGTAATGTTTCATCAGTATAATGTAGCCTGTTGCTTATCCCTTGAGACTGAATCAAAAGCAGATTTTATATCTGTAAAAGCCGAATAGAAATCTTGCTAGATCTGATATTTTTTGGTAATGGCCCATCATTGACCTGTCTCATAAAAAGCCAGCCTGCTCATTTTTGAGAACATTTTCTACCTTAAGGTAACAGGTATATTAAGATAACAGGCATACAGTTTACAACTACTGAAAATAGGTTGATGGGCCAATAGTTAAAAGAATTATTTCTGTCTTTCACGGAATAAAAATTATAATATGCTCATTGGGCAATTGAGCTGTCCCATTAATTTGTGTGAAGAGAGCTGTTATTTATTTATTTAGAAAATTACTATGCCGCCCCATTCGCCGAAGCCTTGGGGCGGCTCACAAACATAAACTTTGTTAAAATAATATAAATTAACAGTATAAATTAAGTCGCCATTAAGTTGACATTATAAGTTAATGTCACATGCTGGTCTCCTTTATTAACTTTCAATAATTTAGGCATATCTAGTCCTGATCCTGGAGCCTTTTCAGATTTTATATGGGAAATAACTATCTTTTTTCAGACTGGACCATAAGGCCCATTCTGAAAGATCATGAAAGGAAAGGAATCTGTTGAAGCTTTCTTTCTGAATTCCCTAAAAATTGCAGAAAAGTATGTTTTAGAGACTAAGACTTTACATATTAGTGGACCTGACAGTTTGCTTTACTATGCCTGTAACTATAGACCAGCAGTGTTTAGTATCCTTTCCAAAGAAGAATTTATCAGTATATTCCATATCTTTGCATAGCTTACTGCATAGGATCAACAAAAACTGGAGACAGCTTGATAGCATGTAACTACTGAACAATAAAGAAAATAGGCAGAACTTGTAATGTGGTGGCAGTATTGTGGTAAAAACAACAATCTAATTTTGGTTTTGGTGTTTTTTAGTTCAAAATTGAAAAAACTCTGAAGGAAAAAGAAGAACTATTAAAGGTAACCAGCTCTCTCGAGAAGGAGTCTGTCCAACTAAGAGACCAAGTTGAAAGACTGGAAAAAGAACTTGATCATGAAAAGGAAAGAAGTGCTCAGCTTGAAGCACTACAAAAGGTTAGTACTGTATTTGGTAAAAACTAATGGCATTATGCCTCTTCAAAGCCATTTTAAAGGTGGTTCTATGCAAACTGATATTGGGAACTTTGGATAGAATTCACATGCCTCGTTTTATAGCTGTGAATCTGTTTTCTCTGTTTGTAAATTAAACTTAAATATCTGTCCTCTATAGTAGGTCACTAATATTTTGTTTGACTTGCAGACATTTCATTAAACTTTTAAAAAGATAGTATTTATACATTCCATTCGAGTTTTGCTAAAGGGAAGACCTGATTATATTTTTGAACAATAATATCAAGCTAGAGTCATAGTAAGCACAGTGATACAATTTTCCTTTTGCCATTTGTATAGCATATACAAGGTGCCCATATATTTTCCTGTATTAGGTGCTTGAAAGGTCAAAACTGGCAGAATAGCACCTATATTAACTACTGAACTGCTTTCTTCTTTCAAAGGGTGACAGTTGCAAATGCTTGTGTCTTCTTTGTTGTAATCAAAGGATTAATTTTTCTTCATACTATATCATCTCTTCTATTTTGATAGCTCCAGTATAATTGCATTGGGAACAAGTTGGTTGGTTCTTAAAAGTTTTAATTGTCTCACTCAGTTAAATGGTGCATTGTATTATGGCATTGCACACACTGCAGGAGACAGAGTATATCATTTTCTAGCTTTATATCATAATTTATCTCCTTCTCAGGGCAATTTAATGCTAGTATTCTGAGTTAGACCTAAATATTACACTGCTACTGCTTTAGTACTTAGGTATAATTATGAGGTGCCATACAGCTATTTTAACATGCCCTTTCATCCTTTTTCATCCTTGAAAAATGTTTTAGTATGTACTAATACGAAAAGGTGAACTGGCTTTATTTATTTAAAAAATTTATATGCCATCACCACTTGCCTCAGCATCTCAGGATGGCTCACAAATGTACAAATAAAAGCAATAAAACAATTTGTTTTATTTATGTTCATTTCTTGATTGATTCTTTAAAATATCAAGGTTTTGTGCAGTTGATTCTACTTTTCCTGAGCTGTTTAAAATATAGAGATGCATGTAAATTAGTTTCTAGTGCCTTTAAAATTATTGGGAGTCGTTTGTTTCTCAGTCTTTGGCAGTTGCCAATGCTGTTTAGATTTAAGTAAAATACTACAGTTTTCTTAGCAAAATTTACCAATCTTTGAAAAAAGCATGCATATCAGAGCTTTATTTGGTGCTGACAATATCACTTAAATGATTATGCATAGTTATTGTAGGTGTCAGAAGAGTTGACAGCAACAAATGCATTGCAAGTTGTCAATGCCAATTTAATGTACTACTTATTTTACCTGCATTCCTGATAATTGTTTGTAATAGCAGCATTTAATTATTTGCTTGTGTTATTTTGGAAGCAGTGGCAAAAGATGGCACTTTGTGCATTCCCATGCTGGAAATAGAGCTGGGCTCATTTTATTTTGAGTTTGGGATTTGTTTGTTATTGGGATGGCATCCTTCTTGCAGTTTAAGCTCCAGCTTTGCTATTGACATGAAACAAATAGAGCTCCGAATGCCATTGTTTCTTCCTGGTGTGTCTCTAGTAGCAATAATGAGAGTTTTGCTGCTGCTCTGTTAATGGTTTTGAGACTTAAAGGAAGAAAGGTAAGCTTTGAGGTTTACTGAGAGTCAGTGTGGTGTAGTGGTCAAGAGTGTAGGACTGGGAATCAGGCAACCTGGGTTCTATTCTCCACTCAGCAATGGAGCCAGCTCAGTGACTTTGGGCCAGCCACAGTCTCTCAGCCCAACCCATCTCACCGAATTGTGGGGATAACTGGAGGAAGAGAATAGTGTAAGCCAGAGCAGCAGGAGGAAAACAGTGTAAGTCGCTTTGAGAACATAAGAGAAGAGAAAAACTAAATCATAAATCTAATAAATTCTAGAACAGGTTTTTATTCTTACATTGTTTTTAACTGAGTAGCACAAATAAGATATGCTTCTATGGTCTCTTGGCACTTCTCCATTCTTAACATATGCCTATACATGATCCATCTAATAGGCATGTATTTTATTTATTAATATACTTATATCCCACTTTTCTCATGCAAAAGCATGAGCATGGTAAATACCAGTCACACATGTGAGACATGAGGATATTTGCACATACTTATCTTCAGTTTGCACAGGAGTTATAACTGGAATTGGTGTTCTTAATGCAAATTGCTCATGAACTCACCTTATACATTGTTTTTCTTTCCATGCTCCTTCCAGTTGGCAGAATGAGGGATGTTTTACTGTAGACTTGAAGTAAATTAGTATCGTTAAATGTGTGCATCTAAAAATGTGTTCTTTGACACATTTTCTTCTTTGTAAGGATAACTTCAAAACTGCAGAGAATCTAAAAACAGAAAATGATGAACTCAAGAAAAAATGTGAGGAGGCTACTTCCAGAGTTCTCCAACTTGAAGAAGACATCATGACTGTTACACAGAAAGCTATAGCAAAAGAAACAGAATTAGACAGGTATGTGTCTAATTTAATACATTATTTCCTACTTAAATCTAACCAAAACAAAATTTCACTGTTTACTTGCTTTTCCACAGCTTGAAAGACAAACTGAAGAAAGTTGTCCTTGAGAAGGAACAACTTGAATGCCAGTTAAAGACAGAGAAGGATGAAAAGGAGCTCTACAAGGTAACTTTTCAACCTGCTTAAAAGATACTTAAAAGAATTACTATAATTTTAGGAAGAAAGATAGTGAAACAGGTGCTGTAGGTGTATCACTATTGCATTTAATGCTTAAGTATTTATTATGTGCTGAACTGGTGTTGAAACCCTGTGCGTACCACCCTGATAGCCTCTTCGTAGAAAATCGAAAATATAGTCCTGGTAACAGTAGTGGTTTCTCAAGTATTTTACCTTACCTTGCATCCTATGACTTAGGCCCTTTGGAGCCACGAATGGTTGTGTTTCTAAAAACAGCTTTAAGATGATTCTTCTTTATTTGTTCCCTGCAAATGCCAGGGTCTGTATTCCAAAGCGTATAGTTTTTGTGCCTAGAAGGAAAGTCTTGTGGTATATTTATTTTCCACTTTTTCTCTGACCAAATGGCAGAGTGTCTAGAGAAGGAGAATCATTTGAAGAATAATTGGTAGCAGTTGGTGTTGTCCTTTCTAAATACTAAGCACTACAGTTCAGATTGAGGTATGGTCAGTCCTGCCTTTCATAATGTGGCAGCAGCAGTTGCTGTAAGTCTTGAAATGCTATGATTGTGCACAAATCAGTCTGTCATATGTATACGTGTCAATAAGCTGTACAAGGAGCAATAAGGAAATCTTCATACATGGTGATAAGCACAGGTGAGTCTTCTTTTTTCTCCCCTGCATGTGTAGAACAAGATAGAAATCTGTTCCTTCAGGTATTGTTAGATCACAACTCCCATTAGGCATCGAGATTGGGTGTGTGGTCTAAGCCTCTTGGGAGTTGGAGACTATTAGCATCTGGAGGACCTCAGGTTACCTTCCCCTATCTAGAAATAGTGTATATGAAATTACCAATTTTGATGATTCTAGAAAATCTCTTTCAAAGTATAGAGCACATTATTTCAAGGTGAGAACTAGGTTGTAGCAGCTTGTTGTCACCAACACAATCAATGAAATATTTATTTTCTCTCTCCATTGGTTTGGTTGTATATTTTCTTTATGGTCTCTTAAAACTTGAGTATGTCTAGTGGAATATTTGGAATGAAATAGTTCTGATCTGATAATTTTAAGTATGAGACTTGAAAAGGTAACATTACTGTCTTGTTAACATTGACAGGCTTCCATTAGTCATGATGCTACTTTGAGTAAACAGCTAAGCAGACTTTAGGGCAGCTGATTGGAAATGATGCATTGCTATACAAATAATGAATAGGACTTTCATTTCAGTCTAGGAACAGACCAGGCATTCCTATATCTGAACATTTCTTAAGTGTAGATAAATACATCTAACTTTATTTATTGTATGTCCTGCCTTTTTTCCTGGAACATTATATTATCCAGGAATTTCTGCTCACACAGTTGTAGCTTCTGTTCTCCTTTGCATGCCTTTCAGAACAAATTTGGGAACTGCATTGGGAAGAAAAACTTGGTCTACTAGCACTGTTCCACTGAAGGACTCCATTGGATACAATCCAATAAAGTCCCCTTTTATTACATTTTTAAGGGGGCATTGGTATGTGTGTTCAGACCAAAAAATGTCCTGTGACTCTCAGCATACTCCAGACAAGACCCCTTGGTGAATATTCGAAAACAAAGTCTTTTTTAGTAGGAAATGTTAATATAAAAACTCCAATGTACTAATCATAGTTAAGATCTCCACTCCCCACCACCAGACACATTTGGTTTGAATGTGAAGAATAAGAGTAAATGTTAGCTGGTTGTATTACAGATACACTTGAAGAACACCGAAGTTGAAAACACTAAATTAGCATCAGAGGTTCAGACACTAAAGAATTTGGATGGCAAGAAAGAAAATCTGATATCATATTATAAAGAGGAGATTGGTAGGCTACAGCTATGTGCAGCTGAAAAGGAAAAGTTAAAGAGAGCATTCTTGCTTACCTCATCAAACAAGGTAATTTGAGCTATCCAGATGATAACTTGAATGCATTGTGTTTCTTCAGATTTCAAGTATCTCAGGTTTTGTTTTAAAATGCTAGGTTGGACAGTTTAAGTATACATTGTTCATTTCAAGACATTTGTACTAGTATGTTCTACATATAACGGAATCATGACATTGTCAACATGCTGAAAATTAATTTAGTAGTCATGAATATTGCATTTAATGAGTATGAGTGAAGGAAAAAGGGACCTCGGAAATTCACTGGGCAAGACTACCAGCAAGCAACTGACAAATTATGGATTAGTAGTTTTGCCCATTCTGCATAGAACTATGTTGTTACCCATGCCTTTTGTATGAGAAGGAGGTATGTCGTCCTATAGGCTTGCCTTTTGAAGATAGTCCAGAACCTCAGCTGGCAATGAAAACAACCATCCAGATGTTGTTGGATACTGGGCAACTACAGTATGTGACACCATTTTTATATCAGTTGCATTGCTTGCTGGAGCATTTCCAAGCCAATTCAAAGTGCTAATTTTGGCCCGTCAGTTCCAAGAATATTTCAGAGCAGGACTACCTCACTCATACAAACCTTTTTGAGTGTTAAGACCTTTCACTAGACATAATTAACATTTTGTTAGATATATTAATTATGTTGTAACTGGGCTGTGTTTCAATGTTATGTATGTGTAGCTATCTGGTTGACTGTGATTCAAGTTTTATATTTTCTTATTTGATTATATCTTACCATGTTCTAAATTGTCATGTTTGTATAGCTTCAGCAGTAGTTCGCAGCAGGCTCATAGCTGACAAGTAATTCTATGCTACTTGATGAAGAGAAAGAATAAGTTCTAATAGGCTGAATATAGTTCACTCTTAATAGAATATTTCAGTAATTTGTTTTTGATTTGTTCAAGGGCAGAAGCATGTTTTTAACATATGCATCTCGAGTATACTACTTTCCATTAATAGAAAATGAGAACAGAGTGAACAAATCTTGTAGTATTTAAAAAAAATCTTTTAATTTATTTTTTCCCAGGAAGAAGCAAGCATTTTAAAAGAACAGCTTCGGAAAGCTGAAGATCAGATTCAAGCTAGCCGGCAGGAAGCTATGCTGATGTCAAAAGAGCTTAGCGATGCAGTCAATGTGCGTGATAAAACTATGGCGGATCTCCATAGTGCTCGACTAGAAAATGAGAAGGTGAAGAAGCAGCTCACGGATGCTCTAGCTGAACTTAAAAAAATCACTCTTGTGAATAATGAACAGGTAATTATGTAGTTCTTACTAACTCTTCTTAGATTTAATAATGAATCTTCTGCGAGACAATATAAAAGAATATTATTTGGAAAATCACTAATTGTGCACTTCCAAGTGAATAAAATAGAACCCTCTTACATATAACTTTGTCCCCCCAGATTCCTGTAGACATTAATTGTATTACAGAAGAAAAAAAAATAGTTCTTTCAGACTCAACTTTAGGAACTATAAATAAGTTCAGTTTCTTTGGAAAATTTCCACTTAAATTTTCAATTCTATGAGTAGATAAAAGTAGAGAGCCTTTAATTCAAATGTTAAATGAAGCCTGCAGTCATAACTGATTAACCTTCAACTTTTAACGCTTGGAAAAACCATTCCAAATATGTTCCCAAACTAGGTATTTTAGTTTGGATCCAATTAAACAGCAAATCTTAATTTGATGTCGTGTATCAGGGCTGACTCAGGCTGCCTAATTAAGGTTGATAAACAGTAAATAATCCCTTTTGATTTTAGGACTTTTACTGTGCATTAAACTGATGGTTTTATGCTTGCAGCTTTATACCACAAGCATGCCGTTTAATGTTTACACTATTCATTTATGAATAAACATATCACCTTTAAAAACAATAAAAGTTTTTCTTAAATAACCCATTAGATAGATCTGTAAGGCTTTAAATCTGCATTTAACCAAAAGCATAGAATAATCTTCCTTCCACTGCACTGAATGCTGGTCAGATCGAAAGGTCCAGAGGCAGGCAGAAGATGAATGAATGATTCTTTACTAGTGTTAGGTTTCTTTTTTGAGTGTGCTATATAAAATCCTATTTCATTAGTACAGCACATTGCACATCTTAGTTGCAGTTCTGTTAAGCAATCTGTCAAAGAGTTCCCTATAAACTGGCATTGTAAGGGAAAGAACCAGGTATTAATTGTAGTAGGAATTTCCCCTCCCCCTCATGTTGCACCCTTTCACAAAAGGTAAGGACTTTTAGTACACTCCTTTGAAGCGTATTTGTTTTCTTTTTGTTTTTAAAGGAAACTTCAAGTGTTGTGGAGAAAGAACTGCGCAGAGAAGTTGAAGACTTAAAGCTCCGTCTGCAGATGGCTGCTGAGCATTACAAGGAAAAATTCAAAGAATGTCAGAAGCTGCAAAAACAAGTCAATAAACTTATTGACCAGACTGTAAGTAGTGTTCATAAATATGCACACTCCCAATCATTTTTACTAATCAGTTGATTAGTTAAGGCAGAAGAAATTACAGTGGAAAGTGTAGAACTATGCTACATGAATTTTAGGTTTATCAGTGAATCATCTTGAAAGCTTATGGAATATTTTACTGCATCAAACAGTGCAAGTTTAGTCTTACGACAAATGTTGAAGCTAAGACACAATGGCAGAGAAGAATACAGAACTGAAAAACTAGACTTATGCATGTTTTATGTACTGACATTTTAACATACAGATCTACTCTATATTTGCAACTTCTTGTTTACCCTGCTCCAGAATGCTAACAGTTGTGTATTATGGGCTACTGGTTTTCTGGTTTCTTAACAGTTTCCATATTAAAATGTCAAGTTTACCTACAAAACGAAATTTATAATTGTTAACTTCAGAAAATCATGTTAAGTATTTCTCATCCTGTGTGGAAAGATAACCAGAATTGAGATACCACCACTACCTATAAGGCAGAGTTAAAATTATCAGACAGCTAGAATGCTGTCCTCCCCTCCTCATATCATTTTTCTTTTTGTTTTTAACTAGAGATAATTCTAAAAACTCTTTGCTGTTTAGTAGAGATCAGGGGAAGGGGCCCTTGATCACTAGCAAATTGAGTAGAAAAATTGCCAAATAGAGTTCTAAACAAAATGGGTGGCAAGAAAGCAGGGCCAGATGTTGGTGTAGATCCATCTTTCCTCACCATGTTGGACTAAAACTGGGTTGGCTTCATATTACTCTTCTGTCCTTGTGATGGAAAGTAGGACCACAGTCACTTGTTAGTATTAGGCACACTGTTTCAGTCTGCTCACTGCCCGCAATGTCCTGATTTAAATGCAGCTTTTAGATTTCCAAAGCAGCACACAATGAATATTAATAAACTTCATTTAAGATTACAATATCAGGAGTAAAATCAGATGGCAGTAGGACACAAACATAGCAGCTGCAGCAGCAGAAAGTAGTTAATGAATCTCAAATAGAGCAGTTCTTTGGCTTATAAAAAGGGTATTACAGGTGTTTTTAAAACTTTGGCATTTTGAAAAGGCTCTCTTCCCACTTCCCATTAGTTTTGTATCTGGATGTGAAGATACTTTGTGACCCGGACCATAATGTGCTTCATGTATTTGTTTGCAACTTTTTAGAGTTGATCCTAGAAAGTAGCCAATACAGGTATTCCAATACTGGCATAATGCAAATTATATTTATCTTTAATTTCAATCAGTAATCTAGCCATATCAGCAATTCGAGTTTTTGAAAGCATTCCTATTACTGTAGTCTAGTCTGGGTGTTACTAGGCATGGACAATACTGGCTAAGCTCTTGCTGTCCTGGAGGGACTGTTACTGGCATACCAACTGGTTAAAGGTACTTTGGATGTTAGATGCTACTGGGCATCCAAATGATCTAACTCCACTTAAGGCTAGATCTAAACCACTGAATTAATCCTCAAAGAGAACGATTTGACCTAAGTCAAAACTGAATACTTTTTTATTGATCACCTACCAGAACTACTCCTGTCTTGTAGTCTACTTATTGCCTGCTCTTTCTATGGTCTTTATCACTCTTGGAACTACAATACAAATGTCATTAATTGCATGTAAGCTGTTAAAATACACAAAAATAAATATTCTCTATGGAAAGAGTGAGATTGTAGGGAAGAGGGGTTTAACCATTTAACTTGGCCTGGAGGACCTGATGAAAATTGCCCCTCCCTCAAAACTGCTAGTAGCCCAGGAGAACAACTTTCAGTTGCCTTCAGTGAAGGGAGTTAACTTTCTTTCCTGTGTGCTACAGTTCCTCCTGCAGGTATTAAGGTTTTGCACTTTGCATCCTTAGGATAAAATTACATTTTCTTGTCCCAGCAGAATGTGGGTTTGTTTGACAAATCCAGCTGCAATTAATAGTTGTGTGCGTGTGTGTGTGTGTGTGTGTGTGTGTGTGTGTAAAAAATTTGTTAAACCTTCTTTACTGATTCTTTAACTTTACAGTAAAAGACAAATAAGCTGCTGTTGGAATATATACCTGTAATACCCTTGGTTTTTAGATAGAGTGTGTGTGTGTGTAGTGATAACCTTTTTAAAGGCAATACTTCCACTGCATCTTCTTTTGAGTATAATACCTGAAAAAACACCTCATGCCAGCCAGCCTATTTTATAGAGGTTCTTCTAGTAGCGGTGGCTGAATGATGCCCTGACTCTAGTGTCCCCAAAAAGGTTCAAACAGGGTTGACAATATAGTCTTTGTAATACCAGATTGAGATTTTCTTAGATACCCTGGCACTTTAGAGGACATTTTGCTCTGTTTTCATGCTCCAGACTGTTTTTATTTTGCTCAGTTGCTTGTTGCATTTAGTTAAGGTTATGCTTTTTTATCAGATTGTATTTTTATGTTTGAATATTCTATTCATGTTTTCACATGCCACTCTGGTTCCTTCCAGTGAAAGGTGGTTAAGAAGTACTTAAAAATATTTGAATAAAATCTTTTTTCATAAAGAAAATTTCAGATAATCAACAGAATCTGGCAGAAGGCTCAAAAAGTGAAATCCATATGGTCCAGGCTGGAGATAAAAAGTTGTCTACATCTCCAGGTACCACCTACTTCTATACTGCCTTAGAACAATGAAACTATGAATGAATCTAAGTACTAGAGCGAGGAGAGGATCTAAGGGGTGGGCCATATGTAGTTCTTTCCTTATCCAATAGCAACCTCTTGGAAAGGTTGGGTCCAAAGATCAGGGGACCCTCTGGAACTGCATTCCATGAGGCATAAGGGATTGTTTTTAAAAGGAAATGGGAATACAGACTCAGATGCAGGCATACCTTATTTGTACATACATACTTGTACAAATAGTTGGGAAACTTGAATGACAGATTTAGTACATGAACAGGCCCCTGAATGGTTGTATTGGTTTGAGTGCAAAAGTTCTTGTCCTTCAGTGGAAATCTCCTCCAGAAGAAAGGTAGCCTTTGGAACCAGTCCTCTATATTTGCAAGATTTAGCTCTGGACTTTGTATAACTGGTTTCTTTTAGTATCAAAAATATTATTGATAATAAAAATATCAATATTATTGTTGCTCAGTCATGGAATTCTCTAGCCAGTACAAGTTTTGCTTTATCTAGTGCCCTTAAGCTTCTTGTATCTCTGTGTGGCAGCAGTTAGCCACTGTTGGCATGCCAACGTTTCCCCATCCACACAGCAACATTTACTTGGTTTCCTTTGTTCATTTTTTTCCAGTTCCTGGTGTAGGTGAGAGGAATTTTTGGCTATCCTATCCTTGGGTTTGTTTTTACATAAAAATATTTAGTAAATTTATATGTTCCTCTTCTTTCCACCATGAAACTCAAGATGGCATCTCTGATTCCCAGGCACTGAACAACATCATACCTTAGCTTGAACTGGCTGTAGCATGTACACTTAGACAGGGGTGGACAACTTGTGGCTCTTCAAATGTTTTGGCCTTCAGCCTTCATCATTCCCGGTCAGCACAGCCAGTGATCAGAGATGGAGTTGCAGATCAAAACATCTGGAGGGCTGATGGTCTATACCACTGTTGGCATTGTTTGTCATGATCATCATTGTTTATGTGAATGCATAGTTCACAGTAAATGTTATTTTTCCATTTAATGATTGAAAAAAGGTGGTGTGTTCTGGCCATGTTTCTGCCTCCCTATTGAATAACAGTGAGTGTGAGGTACTCCTCAATAGTATCAATATGTCATCAGTTAGCTAACACTTGATAAAATATATGACCAGTTTTGTTTGGGGGTTTCTTCATTGTACCGATTTTTCCTGCTCAGCAACAACAAATAGTATCTTTTTCTTCAATATATGCAGTTAGCCCCATTTCACCTGATACAGTTTTGGAGTTTTCAGAGAAGGAGCAAGATCGTGAAAAGAATAAGGAAATTGCAGACAAAACAGAAAAGTATAAGACATGCAAGCAGATGCTGTCAGTAAGTAAGAGGCTGCAGTAGAAGAAACTAGCTTTAGGGAGTTATGATAATATTCTTTTAACCTGTTTACCTCATTATATGTCTTGACATAGCTGGAAACCTGCTAGAATGGTACATTTTATAGTTCATTATTTTTAAAGACCTTGATCCTGGTTGAGTTAAAGTTAATCACGAAGTTGAGCCTACCATGTGACAGGGTGACTTTAAACAGCATGACAGGGGTGAGGTAAAGATGAAAGCAAGCATTTGTGTCCAGTGCAATAAGCTTTGAAAGAATAACTGGAGAGGAGTAAGTGAGCACCATGTAGACAAAGTTCAGCATCCCCAGTTAGTCATGGTAAACTTCTTGGTTTCCGTGGAACTTACTGTGCCTTTATGTTCATGCTTACATGGAAGTCAAGTCCTGTTGGTTTTGCTGGGGCTTATTGCTGGGTATGTGTGCATAAGTTTAGCATTTCTAGCATGATTGGCACCCCTGAGTTCTTGGGTACATAATAGAACTGCAAAGTATTAGTTTGACTAAAAGTGACAGCAGATTTTTATTACTAATACAAAAACTTATAAAAACTGCAAATATAAAGAACTGTCCCAAGAAGCATTCCCTCTTCATGCATAGGAAGGAATTGCATGTATTATTGAAAACCATTTAGTTTGTCGTGTGGTCCAGAAATAGCTGTTAATTATATCCCCACTCATAATAACTTTTAATCAATAAACAAATAGAATTATATTTTAACTCAGTGGCAACACTAATATATAGCTTAAGATAGATGAAGATTGAGGAGTGAAGGGGATCAAATGATGTTTAAGTAAATCACATGACATATGAAAAGTCTGAAATTACCAAGTGAAACACTGGCTTTCTTTTGAACCTACTTATCAAGCACTAAATGGGGGATTTTATTTACATTTTTTCTCTCAAAGAGGACTTTCTCACATTTGTTTCTCTGAGTTCTCTAATTCCTCAGGAGATGCTTTATAGGTGGTTTGGCTGCCTATTTGGAGGTAAAGACTTGTGGCTTTGGTCTTCTGGATGTAAGGTGTACTTGATAGTTGCAAAGTTTTATGGAGTGTATTTTTTTGTGTCCCAGTAACCAAATGAATCTTGTACAGAAAAAATAACACAACTGCAAAGAAAAGTATTTTATTATAATGAAGGATGTTCCGTTGCTCTGAGTTATAAAAGCTATTATCTTTAATAAAGTAGTGACCTGCTTAGTTAGGTATTGAATGAAAAAGCCAGCTGGTGTCAGTTCTTTAAAACAGTCGCACTCCATGTGAAACAGCCAAAGAGGTCTGTAGGTCTGTAGAATTCTGACAGTTGATAACTTTGTCTACAGGATGAGAAATTGAAATGTACTGTCTATGCTGATGAAATCGCCAAGTGGGAACTGAAATGGAAGGAGCAAGTGAAAATAAGTGAGAGTGTGAAGCTGCAGCTAGCTGCAGTGGAAGACCAGTACCTGGTATGTTTGCTAATTGTTTTAAAGTTGACATCTAATCATTTAATTGCACAAAATAAAGATTAGCTGTCTCTCAAGGCAGGTTTATCTGAACTGTTTCTTAACATTAACAGATTTATTCTGGTCAATTAGAAATCAGTCTTGCTATGCTTGGGCACAAAAAACAGGGCATGCTGAAGATATTTTTATGTAAGCAAGCTTTCTTTGATTTTACCATTTTCAGCACTGCATTTTGATATTTTTTTTCTTTTTATTCATCCCCCAGTTTTTCATTGAGTGGTATCTGTATCTTACAAATACAGATATAAAGTGGTTTATATATCTTACAAATAATTAAAAAAAAGTTTTATGGAATCCTTTGCTGGGTCAAATTATTACGGTGAATTTGCTTTCCTGAGACTATTCTTAGCTAAGCATGCAACTTGTTCATGTCTGCACTGTCCTCTGGAATAGGGAAGAAAGTGGATAGGAGCACCCCCTCCCCTGCAACAGTAGGAGTTGGCACTTTGTGGCCTACAACTCCCAATATTGGTTGCACTGACTAAGACGGAATGGAATTACAGGCCACAACATCTGGAGGACTACAAATGCCTGCTAACCTGTTTACTGCATTGTTTACCCCTTAGAATGTGGAGACATCCAGCAGAGCTGAATAGTGGAAAATTTGGGACAGAAAGTGCATAAGTACACTATGGAATTTGCTTCCCCAAGATGTAGTGTTAACCACCAACTTAGAGTGCTTTAAAAAGGGACTAGACAAATGTATGAAGGAAAGGTTTTCCGTGGCTGCTCGTCGTCATGGCTATATATGTATTATCACCTGCATTTTGGGCAGTGTGCACCAGTTGCCAGGGAACATGAGTGGGGGAGGGTTCTAATATACTTCTGCCCTTCAGTGGACTTCTTCCAGACAGCTGGTTGGCCACCGTGGGATGTCCTTACTTTGTTACAGCATGGCCTTATGTTCCTGTTAGCAGTAGATGGAAGAACTGAATGGTGATGTTACCATGTCAGCCAAGCAGAGGGCATTAGCAGTTCCTGCTGTTGACAAGCAAACTTTTAAATCACATATATTGTGTAATAGTTGCAGTTGTGATTCTTGTTCTTCTGTCTGTGCAATAAGCTACTGGTGTGATTATAGAACTAACTGATACTGAAATCTGAGCATAAGAAGGAAAGTTCATTCTAAATGTGTGTGGGAAACTGCTTTGTATCCACTAACTTGGTTTATTTGACCTTGTGTTTTAACTAGGTTCAGTTAGCTGAAAAGGACAGAAAGATAAATGAGCTGACATCCCATTTGGGTATCCTTACTAATGAGAAGGTATGGATTAAATGTTATATACGACAGAGCTATTGTCATCAAATTTGTATTTTCTGGGTGCTATTTGAATCTGTTGCAGTATAAGTGAAGCTGCTTTACCATAATATGAATTCTAGTTAGAGAAGGAAAGCAGAGCATGGGAAACTTCTGTTGATGAGCTTGATGAGCACATGATCAGAGCACCACTTTGAAGTGTTGGGCATTTAAGGTCACTTCCCTCTGAAACTTGCGAGAGCACAGGGAAGTTATGGCAGCATTTCCTCGCAATATCTGGATCAGTATGTAAACCATATTGTCCAGTTTCAAACTGGAATAATTTTATAGGGTTGTGCTGAAATACCACAACTTGATAGTTCTGATGATTTTCACAGATGGCTTGATGGATGGGCAAAACATTTTGTGGAAAAGTTAAGAATTCACCATGGCAAGAGTGGAATGCCTTTTTTAAAGAAAGGTTTTCATTTAAAAACACCTGTTGTGGAAGTAATAGATCTTTTCCCTAAAAAATAAGAAGTTTGCATATGTTGCTCTGCAGAGAGAGAAAGCTTTTTACATCTGCTACAGGTAGCATTGTGTAAATCGCTTTTTAAAAGAAGGTATTTTTCTGCATCACTGTAAGGAACTGCAGTTGAAGGACCTGGTGCATATGCAGCAGTGTCTGGATTCCAGATGGTGTTCTTCAGATCCTAAAGTAATTATTTGTATGCCAGGCTTACATAAGACTCTGCTTACATAATATTTAAAGTGAAACAATATTTTGTATTCCAATATTATCACAGATTAAATCAGAATATAGATGAAATTATAAATGCTGTGTAGCATTTTTATCCACACTGAGTGATCTGGGTACTGGAGCACTCAAATGCTATGTAAATATGTATGCTGAAGGAAGAACAGAACTAAATGTTTTTACCAACTTCTTCTGGGTGAAATTTATAAACAGGTGCTGATAATGAAATATAAATTTAGAAGCTGTATACTCTGTTTAACCTTAAAAAAGCAAGCCTGGACTGGAGACATATATAGATATTTATAACTGAAATAGTATTGCTAATGTTGGAATTCTGTTGCTTAAAACCAGTCTCTTCCTCTTAGCATTTATTAACCCACCATTTTATTTAAATTCATTAAAGCTTAGAACAATATACTGTGTAAAGTTGATGTCATTGTAGTTTTTAAATATTCCTTTGTTATGAATAACAATAACACAGAGTTAGAAACTATCACCTTTGAGATCTATGGACCTATGAAATGTTTAGGCAGCCTGTGTTTATTTTTTAAAATTTTTTCCAGTCACTTTAATCTCCTATGGAACGTAAAAGGTTTGACTTGGGAAATAAAACAGCTGTGCTGAATGTCTCTCATGCATGTTACTCCTTATTTTTCTTGTTTGTTACACTCAACTGGGCTGAAAGGTATTAACTTTAAACAAAATAATTTGGCTCTAGGGAGACTCCCAAGAAGTAGCTATCTGATTTGTGGTTGAGGTTTTTTTAAGTGACTAGAGCCAAAAACAATGAGATGGAGTTTTGTAATGCTATAAGTGTTGGCAATTTTCCATTTCTTAGAGCAAAACAAAGCAAATTGCACTTACAGGACTTGCGGTGAAATATTAAGCTTTCATCACCAGGGCATCCCAAAACTAGACAAAGATTAATGTGACACTTGGCTTTACTTTTGGAGTTACTTTGTGATTACTTATATACAGCTAATCTTTTGAATAATCTTTTGGCTTTCTAAACAGTGTGAAAGACAGAAAAGCTTTGTTCAGGATCCTATTAATTTTGATAACAATTGCTATGCTAATGTTCCATTTCAGAGAAGATGTTAATAAAATATTGAGGCAGCATCTTGTTTCTTCATGCTCTCTGTGCATCGCATTATATGGGCTCTGTGCCTGCGTTCATGTGAGCGAGAGCCCTTCCCCAAGCTTTTTGACCACCATTGTGCCTAGATCAGGAATCACTTTTCTTTCCTTCACCTAGAAACTTAGTGTTCTTTCCTCTCCTTTGCCTATTTCACTTTCTCTGTTTATTTTATTTATTTAAAATATTTCTATGCCGCCCCCATCGCAACAAAGCCTCGGGGCGGCTCACAAAGAATACATAAAAACATAATAATAATATAACAATTTAAAAAAAAAATTAAAAACCCCCGGTGCATTCTCGGCTAAAAATTTTAAAATCCTAATTAATTCAATAATTTAACAATTAAAATACATTTTAAATAAAAAGGTCTTAGCCTGGCACCGAAAAACAAATAACGACGGTGCCAGGCGGACCTCTCTGGAGAGCACATTCCATAGATGGGGCGCCACTGCAGAGAAAGCGGTTCCTCTGTTCAAGCCCGTTTTCACTCTTTGTCCCATAATTCATCAGCTAGACATTTAAAGTCTCAGTAAAGACAAATCTTGGGGGGACTTCTGGGATGTCGCGGTGAGACAGCAAAAGCAGGGCTCCCGTATTTCATGCTGAAATCTGTTCTCTAGTGGGCTCGAAAAGCCCGAAGAACCATCCTGTGGGGATGGGCAAAGAATCGAGCTGCCCTGTTACGTGGGCAAATCGCTGAATTCACAGAGAGCTGACTTGAGGTGAATATCCTCTCAAGCTGTTTAACCTCCCTAAGGGTGAAAGATAAGACTGGAAGCTTGCCTTAAATCAATCTGAGGGAAAAGTCCCTTTTTTTCTTTGTTTTTATTCTTCTTTTTGGACTCTAATGGCGGATGGATCATTTCCGGTTATTGTTTAAGTACTCTTACTATGAAGACAGACGACCTTCATTGTGATAATAAGGAGCTCTTTGCTGCCATCCTGTGGCCATTTTGATCTACAGCAAGCCACTCAGACAAAAACTTTGAACTCTTGATTCCTAGCCTATTTAAGCTACTTGAACTATGTGGCTAGAGAAAATGAATTATTTGTGTTGGATGTGCCTTCTTTTTTATCTGTTAAAATAACTGGAAAGGGATTGTTATTAAGTAATTATAAGAACTGCAGAAGAGGAAATGATTTGTATAATATCTTAGGCCATGGGTCCTCAGACTACGGCCCGTGGGCCGGATCTGGCCTGCCTCAGAGGTTTTGGACTCGCCTTGCTGTGCCCACACCCTCTGCCACTGCCACCTTGCTGCGCCCGCAGGTGCCGCTGCCTTGCCGTGCCCACCATTGCCGCTGCCTCGCAGGCCCGCACCCACTGCTGATGCCGCGCCAGCTGCTGCCACCTCGACGGCCCGCACCCACTGCTGCCACCTTCCAACTGGCCCCCTGTTGAAAAAGTTTGAGGACTCCTGTTTTAGGCTATCTAAGCAGGGAAAACGGTGGTAGTTATCTGAAATTTGAATAGGGACTTAAGTGCCTTTATACTTAGTTATATTACTATTCTATTATACTTTAACATTTATAAGAAATAAGATTGAGTTAATTTTTCATCTGTAGACTGATTTTGATTCTTGAACTTAATGAGTTTCCCTAATCCTTACAAGAGTTCTAGGAAGTCTACTAGTTCATCTTCTGCCCCCCACCCCCCACCCTTTGGGACCCTCCAGCCCGGTTTATCAACAAAAAACACTGGATGTGAAAATCCAACAAGATAAATTCAACAATTTTCAAATGGAGTTACAGACAACACTCCAAGCAATTCAAAAATGGCCTCAGAACAAAATGAGAAACTGGAGAAAATGGCTAGACATATAATAGCTTTAAACGCTCAACTGGCGGACATTCAACATAAAACACAGAATGAACAAAAAATACAAGAGATGGAAAACAAGGCTGATACTATTGACAAGATGATGGAAGAGATAAATAAAGAGATACAACACCTGACACAAGTGAATAATACATTATGGGACTCAGTTGCTATATTGGAAATGGAAAAGGCCTCTAATTACTTGAGACTAGAGAACATACCAGAGACAAAAAATGAAGACTTGAATGAGTTAATAATGATAATATTAGCAGAAGTTCTTGATGTGGAGAAGGAAGAAACGGGGAAGACAAATCTTGGGGTGTGCTTTGTCTACTTAAATTTCACAGCTTCTTGTGAGCTGTACATGTAAAATGAATGGCATATTGTGAAACAAAGCCAAGTTGTTTTGTACACCATGATTGGGTGTACTTTCAGTGGTATGCTAACAGTCTGTATATATTGCCAGGAATTTATAAAAGTGGGTAGTATATACTTGGCTTTTATTTGTATTACTCAAATTCTTTTGTAATTAGAAACAGAAACTGATTTGGACTGGCATGTTAATGAGTGCCACTAAATAGGAAATACTTTAAAAATCTGTTTAAAGTTTTAAGTAGCCTCCAGTTCTTCATCAAGCCAATAGTTCTTTTTATGTAAAGAAGGGATGGCCATCTTGTGGCCATCCAGATTGTAGATCAGAAACTCCTGTCATCCCTCAACAATGACTAAGCTGGTTAGAACTAATAGAAGTTACAGACCTGAAGAGCATCTGGAAATTTGCAAGTTGCCTATGTCTAACTTTAAGGCATACAGAAAAAAGTCCTGACTACAGAGGGTACCATGTACAATCCTTAGCTTCTCCAGGCAGTACTAGGAAAGAAACCCTTCAGAATCACTGTCAATCAGTGTAGATGATACTGAACCAGATGGACCAATGAACTCGATGTAATACAGCTTCCTATGTTCCATGGCCTTTTCCGTGGTAGTGCCCAACTTTGAAATCTGCTCCCCAGAGAGATGTGTTTGGTGCAGATGCTCTATTGTTTCAGTGCCAGGCCAACACATTTTAATTTACCCAGTATTTTAAGAGTTGATTATTTTATCATATAACTAGAATTATTTTATTGTATATTTCTATGTATTATATTTGTATTTTAATGTGCTGTTATGCTCTAGTTGTATGCTGTCTTGTGAGATGTTTTAAATAAGTCTTTTCAAAGACTTTGCGAAAAATCTGCAAATTGGAGCAGTATAGAGTTTGATCTGATGCTATTGTTATTGTAATCTTAAAATGTCTTACTTGGACCTCTTCAACCTTTCTTTAGAATCCTGGAAGGAGACTAGAAAATCAGACAGACAGAATTACTGAAGAACTGGTCTCTCAGCAAGCATTATATTTTTTCAATCCAGTTCTCAGTTCTGAAGATAATGGAAAAGTTCCTGCGGTGCCAACTAGGTTACCAGTATTACAGTATGGAAACCCCTATACAACCCAGGAAACTAGAGGTTGGAAATACTGTTTTCATCAGCTTTGTTTTTATTGAAAAATCCTGTTTGAAATATGCAGTCTTGTTCATCTAGCAAATGAAGTCAGTAACTTAAAATTCATAGAGTGTATGTTTGGAGGTAATGCTAAATACAGGGCTAGTTGGAAATATATTATGGGAAGTGTTTTTCTGAGGGGAACAGTTAATATGCACTTTGTCCAAGTTGTCTGTTGTACTTAAGCTCTTGAGTGCTTAGGTTGGTTGACTGGTTCTACTGGACTATGGCATATTGTTTTATATTTAATAGCAGTGGACTGTATATAACCCAGGGGCCGTCTTCTGATCATGTCTACAGATGGAGCAGATGGTGCGTTTTACCCTGATGAGATCCAGAGGCCACCTATCAGAGCACCCTCTTGGGAACTCGAGGGCAATGTAGTATGCAGCCAGCCTGCTCGTAATCTCAGTCGGCCTGATGGTTTAGAAGATCCTGAAGATAGTAATGTAAGTCAGAAATAAAAAAAAACATTGTATTTCTTACATTTAAGTTACAGGCTTTCCTGTCTCATCCATCTTGTTTTGAAAGTCCCTTTTCTTAATGGTCTTAATACTGATTTTGTGAGCTGGACACACTCCATGCTACACCAAGATCATGCATACAGCAGTAGCTGTACATGCAGTTCCTAATCTTGCCAGGAATATGTGTGGGACCTCCTGGTGGACTGAGATGATTGTATAAGAAACTATTCTGACTCAATATGGAAATTCAGACTCAAACTGAGAAGGATACGATGGAGACGAGAGTTACAGGTTAATATCAGTGTTTCTGAAACAACAGTATTTGGCAGCTAACATTTCTGAAGGTACTGCTTCACTAGATATAGCACAACATATGCACAAAGTGCAGATTAATAACTTTTTAATCAAAGTCTTTCAAACTGTTCTCAGCAATAATCTAAAATGTTAATTTCTTTAGGGATTTACATTTTCATGGAATTCATACAGTTCCTTGCAACAAAATATGCAACAAAAATGAAATGTTAAGGAATTGGGGTATACAATCAAACACACAATGATTTGGGGTATACAATCAATTGCACTGTTAACTGATGACACAATTTCTTTGCACCTGTTAACTTTAAGGAGCATTTCAAGAAGACACTTTCCTTTATAAAGTCCCATGCTCTTTGCAAGTACAGTGGTATCATGACCTGCTTCTCATTTAGTCTACTTTGCCACATTTAATTGCTATTAACCTTTGCAGAAACTGAGCAGTGTTCAGACAGGTACGATTTTAGCCCTGGTGCTCAGTACCAATAATGGAGAAAAATGTACCTTTTCCTCCTGCCTTTTGGCCCTTGAGTCCATTACTGTGAATAATTAGGGAAACTGTCAGAACTTTTGTGGCCTACGTAAGGTCTTGAATGTGAGCTTAGCACATTTGCCTACCTTTACTTCACATTTTGCATATTTAATACGACCATTCTTGGCACAGACATTACAGATGACAAGCCCTTCTCCTCTCTAGTCGTCTGCTGCCGTTTAATTAGCAGAGTGTTCTTTCTAATCTATGTGCTTTGCCCTCTTGCAAACCCATGAGGAACAGAGCTAAAGTCTTGTGCTCATTTGCTGACACAGCTTAGATTTTGTAATGAGGTAGAAGGATCCTTATATGCTCAGTTGGGAACCAACTTTCGGCAAGTATGCTCCTGTTCTCAGAAGATTTTTCTTGTCTTACATCAACTAGAAGTCTTTACATGTTATCATCATACTTGTCTGCTTGTCACACGAAAATCACTTAATTGTGCTCAGGCAAGGATGTTCACTAGGAAAAATAGGATGCTAATTACCTCACAGTGATACTTTGCAGTGCAGGCAACTGTATGTTGGGCGCTGATAAAAATAAAAATCTGTCTAAAAGTAAGCACACTAAGCAGTTTGTGGCAGGAAACCTTTCTTTTGATAGCTCATTATATTAGATGCTAAGCCTATCAAAAGAGATCAGAGAAAGCTACCTGCATGCTTCCATATAGCTTGAAGGGCCTGATCCTGCCTTATCTCGGAAGCTAAGCAGGGTCGGCCTTTGTTGAAATCTGGATGGGTGACAGCATGTTGTGAATTGCTCAGAGAGCTTTGTCTGCAAGCGCTATGGAAATGCAATGTGGTGATGGTGGTGTTGATGTTTGCGTGCCATTTGAAATGCGTATGTTGGGTATACGCAGGATTCTGCCTGTAGATAATGTGTAATTTCTTGTGCTCTTTTCTGTGCACTGTTAAATTATTCCATTACTTAATCCCAAGTCTGCTTGTCTGTTTTCTGCGAGCTTGGCCCTTTTGCTGCATTTGTTAAGCAATTTAGATGGCCCATTCAGATCCTCTAAATCCCAGCAGTACTACACATGCAAGAGGCTAGTGAGCACCCCTGCCACACACACACAGACATAATTCTGTGTCAGGGCAGGTTGCTCCTAAGATGCCTGCCTCAGATAAACATGTGAATCAGGTGCGCAGCCTATGGATGTGTGCCTATGTCCTTGTAACAAGGTAGGGTGGTGGTGTGTGAGCCCTGTGCTATTGGTTGGTATAGTCAGTACTGTGAACTCTCCCTGTAAGTGATAACATGGTTGGTGTTTCAACAGCCACATCTGGTAAGTGCAGGTGGGAAAATATTAATGGAGACTCTATGCTATCTTGAATGTGAAATATCAGTGCAGTTAACCTTACAAAAAGTGTCTGTAGTAATCTGGTACTGTTCAAGGGTGAAATGTAAGCAAAAGCTGCTGCTTCCTGATTTGGTGTCACTAGGGCACTTACACATACAGGATAATTTGCTGAAAATTAAAATTATTTGATCATCAGAATCAGGCTTGCATAGTAAAGTTTCTCCTTGGTAGGGGCTCTCAAACATATCCTTGAGAATACCGTGTCTCCTCAGCACCAGCTGCAGCAGTTTATGCTGTAAGTAAATGAAATGAGAACATGACAGTGAGAACACAGTTATGATGACAGGAAGCTGCCAAATAAGATGGTTTCATTAGAAGGCCTGGCTACTGGGGGAAGTGCTTGACTGGCAGCAGTGGCATCTCTGGCTCATTTAAAAACCGAGCCTTTGGAGAAAAGCCTTGCGACTAAATCAGTGCCCCTCCTCACCTTGCTATTTTTTACAGGCACAATTTTAGCAATTGAACTTGCTTAATTTCAGCAGTTCATGAAACAGAATTGTGGCTTAATTGTGTGGCTTTGTTGTTCTAGTTTAAAAAAGGAGTTACTTGTATTTAGTCACTAGGTGTTGGTACGGATGTGCCCAATGAGATATTTTAGAGGAGGGACTGTAGGGCACGGCAGAGCACATGCTGGGCAAGCAGAAGGCCTCACATTCAGTCGGGCCTCTTCAGGTAGGGTGAAGGTGCATCCTGCCTGAAACCCTGCAGAAGCACTGCCAGTCAGTGTCAGCAATACTAGGCTGTTTTCCTAGGTTCATATGATACTGTCCCTACAGGGGCACAGGATGCATTGCTCAGAACTTTACAGACTCATATATGTAAATACAAATAATAAACCTGCTTTTGTGAGCAAAATATTTTTATACAAATTCACACTTTGTTTCCAGGATGATGAGGCAGGTGCGCCTTCTGCTCCTGATCCACCAAACGTACGCTTACATGAACGTGGAACAGGCTTTTGTTTTGATTCCAGGTAAGTGAGTGTTCACAAGTGAAAGTGACACCGGGCATGTAGTAATGCCGGCGCAATCACTTTCAAATTAAGTTGCCTACAAGCGTGTGCCTTCTAGCTGTTAACAGAAAGTAGTCAGGTTTTGGGGAAATCCAAGCCTGTGCCATGACACTGAGCAACTTGTTGAATCATCTTTACCTAGGAAAAATGCATGGCGTCCCCCTGACCCCAGTATAAGGGTTGCTTGTGGAGAACGTGTGGTGTGAGTGCCAGGGGCACGGCCTCTGTTGACTACTCTGATGCACGATTACCAAGTCAACCTCTCCCCATCCCCTTTCGCAAGCCCACTGTTGTTTTGTAATTTAAAACAAAAAGGCTGCAGTTTTTTTTGGTAAATTTGGTGCTTGCTATAGATACAATGTAGGAGGAAAAGCTGTAGTTGATGAAAGGATGACACATGAAAGAAGGAATAAATAACCGTAGTAGCATGCGTGATGCAGACTTTCTTAAGGATCCCACATTATACCCAGTGAGTAATCCATAACTAATAGCTAAATTGACTAGTTACATTTAAGCTACTTAGTGAAAGATGGCAACTTTTTTTCATAGTGGGGTACTGTCTACATTCCAGAGCAACAGAACTGGAACTTCAAGTTAGTTAAAAAAAAAACAAAAGGTTGAATAACTTTTTAAATAGCCTTTTCCTGTTACACCTGCACATGATATCACAGGGATGGCCAAACCAGGGTGCAGGAGCCACATCCGACTCTTTGTGCTTATTTTGTGGCTTGCCACCTGGGGCATCCGTGAGCACTCTCTTACCACTTGCTGCTTCCTGGGGTGTACAAAAGCAGTGCATTTGCTTTGATCATGTGAAAAACCCCTTAGTTAAGCCTGATGAGACACAGTGTTGAGAATCAATTAGATTGTGGGTTGGCTTTGTCTTTGACTCTAACCATTGAGATTTCTGGCGATGGCAAATCAGACTCGGGTGCCAATTGGATTGCTGTCTTCAATGGTCATTCTTTCTTTTTTTATCCTAAGTTTTGTGCACATCAAGAAGTGCCCTCTTTGTGAAGTGATGTTTCCTCCAAACTATGACCAGACCAAATTTGAAGAGCATGTTGAAAGTCACTGGAAGGTGTGTCCAATGTGCTGTGAACAGTTCCCTCCTGACTATGATCAGCAAAACTTTGAAAGACATGTTCAAACACACTTTGATCACAATGTTTTAAATTTTACCTAGCTTCGGGCATCTTAATACAGTTTTGCTCATACAAAACTTGAATGAGATTTGTAAGACAAGAGAATGCAAGAACTTGAGTTAAACTTGTTATTTAAAGGCATAGTGCTCTGCACTGCACTTGATTCAAAGTAAACCTCTCACCTGTTTAGTAAGTGTTGGGTTAGCTTTCTTTGATCTAGTATGCACCCAATGCTGTTATCTATCAGTATTTATTCCTTGGCTTACAAAATGCTTAAGAACATAGGATATGAATAGGCTTGTTCAGAAACCTCAACAGTCCAGTTCACAGTAGTGTCAAGTTTACCAAATGACATTACTTTGCTGTTGCTTGTGCTAACATATAATTAGATACTAATATTCTCATTCCATAATAATAAAATGAGGTTTCTCAGTAATCTTGTGTGTATCCTTCATATCATCGTTGAATCTGAAAAATATATAATTTATCTAATGAATGTATAGTTTTTATGTCTTATTTCATAAGTGTAGCTGCAATGAGATCAAATGCTTATGGAGAAAACATCCTTATAGCAACAGTCATTTTAAACAGCAGTTATGTCATCTTGCAAATGTCATGTTTACTAGTAATCTAGTAATTTTGAACACTTAAACCTTTTGGAAAATAATTGTATAAAATGGCTACAATTGGCTTAATTTGTATTTTGTTTAGATTTTTAATGTATATGTAGAGCTCCTCTCCTTTCAGGATTGTTTAACAAGTTGTGTTTATAGAACTAAGGTTTCTGGAATCTTCTGCATTCTCCTTTGCACATTTTCCCCCCATTACATTTGTGGTGTGCATCTAAAACACTATATTTTTAAAGAGTAACTTAAACTTTAGTAAGCAGCTTGATCCTTTTGGATAAAATTATTTTCTTTGTCTGATGTACAATAGTCAAATTAAAGACAAAACCTAAATATTGATTGTGTGGCTTCTTATTTTGTCTCATTGGGACTTACTGATCTTGGCTGCAGTACCCATAGTAGCCTTTCTAGCAGAGGGCCAGAGTTGCAGCTGGAAAAAATGGCAACAATCCCCATAGGAGTGGAAGGGTCTTCCATTCACACAGTTGCATCTTTCGATTCAGGCCATTGTTGTTGTTGACTTTAGCCAATTCTTAAGTAAATGTATTGTAGTTTTGTGTCAGTGATGCATTTTTTTCTTGCCTAGAATGATGGTCCTTTTCTGTTGACCATTAAATACTGATGGTAACAGTATTTAATTTGTAGGGATATGGTATTTTTTAACCAGAGGCACTGATCTAGCAGTCATGTAAGTGAGCACTACTGCAGCACTCAGTAGTGTATGGTGATAACAAGTTTTTTGGGAAAACCAGTTGTGCCACTCTATGCTATTGCCTTCTGCTAATGATGGCATATATAGAGTAACCCAAAGTTAAGAGCAGCCTGTGGACTAATACTTTCTCCTCCCTCTTCTTATTTGTGTATTATGGGAATGTTCTTAGTGCAGGTGTTTTTAACAGAAAACCATAGCTAAGGGCAGAAAGAAGTATAAGCCTGCTCTTGATTGTAGGCAGTATCCAGTGGGGAATTTATACCTGTTGATTCTCTTATGCTTTGCAGCTAGTTGCACCTGCAGTTGGGCTTGCCAAAAACTGGATCTGCCTCTTGTGCAATACTGTTTTAATGCTTCCTAAAGGAAGCCCAGAAATGAGCAGTGACACGCGCTTCCAATTGTGATTTTCACTGACCTGCCCTATTGCAGAAATGAGCATTCTGGGCAGCATCTGGTTGCCCCAGAAGTGCCAAACCTTGGTTCTAAAAGCAGTGGCTACCCTTGGTGGGGTGCAAAATAATAATTGGAGGCAGAAAATCTCTGTTGGGTACTGTCCTGCATCACCAAGATCAAGACAGCAAGAGTATTACATGTGTGCCAAGTAATTGTTTTTGTTGAAGGTAGTGGGTTATCATGACCGGATTATATGGTGCATCGCTTTTACAGGCTCATCTTTCAGTTAACTGTTGGCTAATCTACTGGCTTATTAGCAAACAATGCAATTTGTAACTTGAGTAATAGATGTGCATCCCTTTCATAAACCTTATTGATGGGCTGCTACAGATATGAAGGACAGTAAAACAGATTCCAGCCCTGATCCAGGGAGCTTTGGAAACCTTTGCTTTAATCAGTCACTGTTGAAGCGAGCATTAGATGCTGACCCTGGTTTACAACTTTGTTTTCTTATTTACAATGTAAAATGTAACAGCTTTATGTAAACACGGCAACATCGTAAAGTGAGTAAACATAATGAAGCAATATCCAATTTTATTTTGGGTCAGAGGCAATTTATTAAATGTGACTGAATTTACATTTATAAGCAGCTTCTGTTGAATGAAATTTTGATGCACTTTGTGATAGTTCTAAAACAAACCCCTTGTGGCTTATGAACTTAATGAACTTTGTCCCCAACAAAATATAGGAAAATATAATTTAAAGCACATTTTCACAGACACAGTACAATACATTCACTATACACAGTATAACAAAATAGTTCCATTTTTACCTGTTTAATACTGTCACAATGACTAGGTAAAGAGTAACTAGATCGTAATTGTGGAAAGAATTGACATGCAACAACATTGTTTAGCTGTTCAATAAGGTTAATCTGCTTTCATTTTTTTCACTGAGAGCAGAGCTAATGAGTCAGAATGTTAGAAGATGGGTAGTAGGGCTTTAAGTACAAGCAATAGGGGTTTTTATGTCTGGATCATCCTTTTACACCAGTGTCGTCACTTGTGCTACAAAATGTACCTTTCTGAAGATGAGTTTAGGATGATTTATTTAAAAGAGTCTTTGTTTTTAAATCTTTTCAACCCTCATTATGAGGGATTTAGAAGCTAGAAACATCTTTCTTAAAGAATCCTTGCCCTCTCAGTCTTTACATGTTCTAAATGAAGACTCACATTTACTGTATCATTTATATATAAATACAAAATACACATAAGAGGATTATTTGTAAAATGTAACATTTTTTTCATGAGGCAAAGAACCTCCCAATGCTTATTTAATGTAGCTTTTGCATACTAAAACTGCTAACCTTCACTAGCACTTAAACGAGAAGAGAATGCTGAAGGCAGGAGAGCATAAAATAAATGAAGCATTCAGGTATGGTCCAGACACAAGTAACTCCGATAGCTCTGATTTCAGGTCTATCTTTTGAGTACCTGCTTCAAGAAGCACTTCATTTCAGTAAGGCTCACGATGTCTTATAGTTCAGAAAGAAATTTTAATGTTAAATTTGTGGAATGCAACAACCCACAGTAAGTTATAAAATATATATTATATATACAAAAATCTGAAGGTACAATGTAAATGGACCTAAAAACTCCTTTAACACAAATAGTGTACCTCCTTAAAATCATGCTTAGAATTTTTTTTAATTGCAACCACTGGTCCATACTGGTGCAGTAATTGCAACAATTGGCAACAGAAAACATTTAAATTTGTTGGCAATCGAGAACTACAAAGTGCTTTAAGAACTTCATCTAAGATGAAGATAATTTCTCTCTCACAAAATTTGCACTTCATTTCCAAGTGTCTTCTAGTATGAGATTCTGGGGAACAATAACTGGACCAGGGGAACTTGGTCCTCAGGAACCTAGATGGTTTTCAACACACATAACATGTAGAGACAGAAGTAGTATTCTAATGCTAGAGTGATTTACTAGTTCAAATGCAAAGATTTTCAGCATTTCAGAGGCCTAAAGAATTTGCAAGATAATATAAAATACAGCAAGCACACCTTTTATGTATGTTATTTGAGTATGAAAATATTTTTAGCATATGTTAAACATTCTCTTATTTATAATTCCAATACCTAAAACCTTACTATCCCACAGATAACTCTATTATATAAGGCATATTAACCAGGTGGATAATGGGGAATTGTTTTGGTTTTGCAAGCACATGGGAACTTGATGTGTTGAATCTCTTCAATCACATTACAATCTCGGTTATCGCAGTGCCAAGCTTTCCTCCTCTTCCCCATCCTTACTTAACACTGCAGAACTAAAAATATAACATCCCCCAATTCTTCTTTTTGGGCTAGCAGGGATACTTAAAAACAGAACAAAACTGTAGCTTTTAGCACCTTTATATCAAAGTTATGTATATGGGCATGATTACATGTGCAAATGTACAAAATCATTTAACTCTACAAAGATACATCATTCCAAAATTACAGAAAAAATTGTAAAGCATGCATTAAATTCTTTAAAGGGTTGCTCAGTGCTTCCCCCGAGAAGGTGGCTGTCTTCAAATCAGCAACTGCTGGTGAGGATTCCTTGGCACATTTGTGACCAGCATGTTATTGCTGCATCTTCCTGATAATCTCAGCAGACACTGGTGGGTGGAAATTGATTGTATGGTGCCGCAGACCCTGAGCTGTCTTGTAACTCTTCCCACAGCGGCATTTGAATGGCTTCCGCACACGGATCTGTGTTCTGTGACCATTCTTGGCATGATATTTTATACCATTGACATTCTGTGGGAGAAGGAAGGCAGAATAGAGGCTGTTGCTGTTATGCATCAAGTGCTCTGGGAAGAACTCTTTATTTTTCACACTGTTTAGATTCCAATTATAAACCATTTAAGGAATAGATTTCACCAGGCATTCAGCTGCAAATCTAAACATAGGACAGCTTGAAATAGGGCTGCCTAGCTGCAGGACTGGATATTAAAAAGTTCACATTTCCTACAAGTGTTGATTGCTTCAGTGTACCTATCTGCTCTGTTATGAGGTCAGAGTAGCGGATGCAACAAGAGATACACCCAGGAAATACTAAACTAAAATTCCAGGAATATCAAGGAGCAAAAACTACACCAACCTTCACAAAAGGCCAGATTCCAAGCAAAGCCCTCTTCCAATCAAGCTACAAGTTCTGATCGTTATAAACTACCACCAGATCAGCAGCAATATGCTTATGCACAGCACTTACTGGGGAACTTAGGTAGCAGGGTGTAGTTGCACTTACATCCTGCTTGATCTGATGGGCAGCTGGCCGGCCACTGTGTGAACAGAATACTGGAGTAAGTCGACCCTTGATTTGATCCAGCATAGTGATGTTCTGACATTCGTAGAAGGTAATTAAGCATTTTTGGATTACTGTCAAGAGGCCTAGTACCTGGGAAGCTACCATGCAGTGAAATACTCTACTACCAAGATTGAATCCATTTTTTGGAAAACTTCATGAATAGGATTGCAGAGGCGGGGAAGAGGTACTCTACATTCAACAGCCCAATCTCTTCTTAGCTTTTAGATATCCTCATTTCTGTATTAATCCCATTCTGCATTTGGTTTTAGGTTAGATGTTTTTTGGAGGCCCAGTCTAAAAATGTAGTTTATCTCCATCTGCTCAAACATCTAAGCCTAAACTGAAAGAATGGCGTGTTCAGTTGTTTGGTTTGTTTTTAATCCAAAGAGGAGGAAAGCAGCTAAATGAACTAGAAGAAAACAGACTAACTATGTTTTTAGTAGACAAAAATAAGGAGTATTTCTCAAAAACATTAGTACTGCAGGTGTGTGGCTTTCTCTAATGTCCACTGTATCAATTTGTTTGATATGCAAATAGTGCGCAAGCTATCCCTTAGCACAGACACTCCTTGTGCATTTCGTGGAGGCAGGGAAGAAGGAACACTTAACCAGCTCTCAGCATTTGCCCTACCATTACATAACATGAGCCAAGCACTACAGGCAATAGGACCGTAGGCAACAGAGCTGCATATTTCATGTGGCTTGCCCCATGTCTAGCACGCTGCTTTCTGCACAATGGTAGGCACTGTCCCCTCATCAGCATTGAAGTAAATTAATTGCTCAGCTGCTCCTCTTCTATATACGGACTGGGCTTTTGGTGTTTCTAACTCAGGAGAACATCTTGGGATGCTTATCCTATGTGGCCAAAATAGGGCCAAATACAGTAAGCCCCCCCCCCCGCCCCATATCTACTGTTTCAAGTTACCACAGCTTCATAAGACCTAACATGCCAGAGCATGGCCCCCTCTTGCAATGGCCATGATGGGGAGCGTTCCCCACGTGCCTGTCTGTGGAGAGACATAGCACTGCCTATGTGGGACTCCTCCTGCCTGGCCACCCACCACATCCACAGTAGACCACAACATTCTAAAAAGAAAATCTCATTTAAGTATCGATGGCAAACTTATGAATAATCAAATCCACAAAAGTTGAACCTGTGAAAGTCGAGGTTCAACTGTATAGAATGTTCACTACTGTCTGCAGTTTCAGGCATCCACTGGGGGGCTTGGAAACCCCTATCCCCTGTAGATACGGGGCTCCTACTATACCTAAGTGCTGGTTTTATTGCTGTTTGCTATTGGACTTACATTTTATAAATCTAGGTGATTCATGGAATCTCTTAATTTGGAAAATATATACAGGCAGTCCCTGGGTTACAGATGAGTTCTGTTCCTGAGAAAATGTAATTTTTTAAAAAAGTTGAATTTGTATGTATGTCGTATCACATATAGTAGGCCCACAAACATTTGCAGAGGTTAGAGGCACATGACCTCCATAAAAGTGGAAAAATGCAAATATCTCTACAACCGCCCCTCCCCCCGGTTCACCAGTGCCTCTCTGCTGCCAATGGGCAGGGCAGGAAGCCCTGCTTTGGAGGTCTCCTTCTCTACCTATCTCTGTATGGTGATGCTTTGGAGTCCTTCACGTCCTCTCTCTCTCTCTCTCCCTATGGTGATGACAATTTCCCACAGCATTTTTAAAAAATCAGTAGGCTTTATGGCAGTTCATAAAAACGGGTTGCTCATAACTCGGATGTCTGTAACTCAGGGACTGCCGGTACCAGATTATTTTCTCTGATGTGTTCATTCATTCATTCATTCATTCATTCATTCATTCATTCATTCATCTTAAAAACTGGTGTTCCAAAACTTCAAAGGACCAGCTGGAAAGATACATTATTTTATGTGTGAGCTGTAGCTTGAATGAACTTTTCTTCTCATACGTGCTGAGTTCATTGTGTAATTGTTTTACTACCATAGGCTCAAAATTTTTCACCCTTCATGCTTCAGTCAACTTCTTAAAGGTCTGAAGTGGCCAGGAGATCATGCCACTCAGCCATGACATTCACTGAAAGACTTTGGACCAGTGACTATCTCTGAGCCCAACTTGTTTCACAGGGCTCTTGTGAGGCTAAGATGGAGGTGCAAGAAAAGAACTCTGTCTCTTGTCTTGAGTTTCTCAGAGGAGTTGTGGAATAAAAACACTCTTGCCTCAAATGAATTAGCTCTGGAAAAAATGCCACATACTAAGAGTGTCCTGGAAACCCTTGCAATCTGATGTCAGTGAGGAGATAGTTGCTGTCTATGCTCAGAGGATAACTTAGTGGATTCACCCCAACACTGCCTCACCACTGATACATAGTGAGAGCAAGAACGTAGGGAGAAGTAGTAGGGCTGAATAGGAGCTTTCTGGCCCAGCAACACTTGTTAGCAGCCTTGGCTAAGTCTCAGAAGCCCTGTTTTTAAGGAGGTTGTTTCCCAAACCCTTACAACAAAGGAAGACACCTCAGCTATCTGTTCTTGCCAGTCCTGGTTGTAATTCAATTCTTTTTAAAAATGGAGGGACTGGCACTCTTTCCCAGCACATTGGCCCCATCTTTCAAAGCCACTTTTATTAAAGGTGTTGTTCAGAGTTATATTTCAGAGAAGAAGGGACAAGACAGGATGGAAATCAGTGGCCAGAATTGTACAGGGCTGTATCATCCACATGAATTCTGGTGGGAAACAATTTCTCCCATGGGGTTGCTATGCCAGCACACTCTGAATCTCTTGTTTTAGCCAGAAAAGTTTTCTTAGACATCTAAAGGTCAAACAGTTTCCTCTTTGGTATTCTCAGTGACAAGGTTGGGACAACACACCACAGCTTGGCCCAGGGTTATTTAACACCTGATAAGCTGCCACACCTCTGAGGACCAAGTTGCATTTGTAACCCCAGTCCCACCCAGTCCCATGCTCTTAACCACTACATCACATAGACTGGTATCTATGAGTAATAGTATGCGGTATGAAGACACTTAAATACTACATACAGTATGTGGAGGAAGATGAAAACTAGGGAAAAATAAGACACTCGTTCCAACAATGTAAGGTTTATGCATACCAGAAGTAACCCAATTACCTTATATCGTTTTTTACACCCAGGGACAGGACAAGCAAAAGGTTTTTCATCCCCTCCGTTCATACACATGGAACTAAGGATTGCTTCGGAGCTGATGGCACTTTCTGTAGTCCAGGATTCATCACTGTCTGAATCTTCATAGTCCACTTCTTCCTCATCATATTCACTGCCTAAAAAGAGAAGTACAGAATTAAGTACAAGTAAAGGATAACAGTGCATTTCATACTGATTAGTATTCCTCCTCTATTCTCTGCCTCATCTACTTCCATCTTAGCCATATTGCTAGAAGATGGGTATTTTTAATTATAAAAGTGCTACTCATTATAGCTCAGATTTGATCAGATAGGCCCTGCTTCATTGGTTAAATAATTGCTTCTAATAAATTACGTAAACAACTTTCTATAGCTTCACTATAAATATTGATGGAAGGAGCTATTTTATTGTGAGACAACCAAGGAAAGGGAGGGGGCAGGGTGGAACTGACTGCTTTTTTCCTCCCCTGTCTCAAAACCAAAGCAGGTTTTTAAGGCTTTTCCTTTACACAGTAAAACACTTGAAGGACATAATTCTCTAGATCATAAACAGTGTAAAATAATATGTTGACAAGTCTTAATACATTTACTAGCCCTCTGGAATTAATAGGAATTATAGCACAGCATTAATAAGAATTATATTGTAGCAATTACAGCTGTGAAATTCATTCCCCCAGGTGTGAGGATAAATTGCATTGTGTGCTGCCTAATACAGCATTATGTTCCAGATAAACTGCAGCAGTCTTCTGAGGACCACGTGGCAAGCTTTTTAATTTTATTTTTTAAAGTTGCAATAAATATTAATAAGACTCTGTGTGAGGTGCACATTAAAAGGAGACCGAAAGTAACTGAGAAAGCAGACTTTCAGTAGCCACAGTAAGTAAGTATATGTACCATGCAGCAGGTAAAGAAACCCCAAACACCCCAAACAGTTTTTCAACGGGCTTGTTGCCGTCTTGGCAACAGCTAATATTGACATTCCAGGATGTTTCTGCCCTGGGCCAATTCATGTGTTTAGTTCTTCCTTCAAGCCTTTGAGTCATTTGAGATGAGAACCAAACCCTAAGCCATTAATTTCTGCATGCTCTCTGCTCAGGAGGCACATGTTAAGCCCAGGGGTGGCAACCTGTGGCCCCCCAGATGTTTTGGTTTACAAGTCCCACTGCTTTGGCCATTGGCTATGCTGGCTACAACTGACGGGAATCCTGGCCCTCCAGATGCCCATTGCTTTGATTCAGGCGTAAATGGCGGCTCTCTGCAAGCCAGCATTTGCAGGCCAAGCCAGGGCCTTATCCATTTTGCCCTGTAGAGCAATCCTCCCAGCGTTAATGAGGCAATGGGTGGGCACCTTGTGGCAGTCCAGATGTTTTGGCCTGCTGATCCCATCCAGCAATGTCAATAGCAAAGGAAGATGCAAGTTGTGGGCTAAAACATCCGGAGCGCCATAGGCTGCCCGTTCCTGGTTTAGGGTCCCACATGCACTGATGCTGATTCTGGTTAACAATGGCCTTGTCCCCTCATAGCCATCATTTAAAATCCACTTCAAACCATACTTTCAAATTCTGGTTTAAGAGGAACACAAGGCTGCCCAGCAGTGAACCATGAAGTTCCTGCATAGGTGGGCTTACTCTGCTAATTTAATTGAGGAATCCAGTTTACAAGGCTTGAATTGCTGGTGGATTGGGCTCCGCCACCACAATGCAAAGGGAAGCTTTTGTAGGCAGAGCAATTAATGTTCTTTGACTGTGGAAATTTGTAACCATTTCTGGATTAGTGGGATTACCAGGAAGCAAGTCATACTTACTTTAATGGGACCTGCATCCCAGGACTACATTTGGGGTTTAAGTTCAGGAGAGAATTTAAAACAGCATTTACAGAGCACGCCACTGCTAACAAATATTGATATTATTGGCAGGAGAGCCTCATTTCCTTTTTGAGTCTTTCATAATACTCATCACTTACAATCCTTTCATATATGCACCAATTTATAAACAAAGCTTTAAAAATATTGTTTACATAGGCATGGAAACTTAGGATATTTTGGGATACCAAAAACCATTGCTCATTGGACCTTTTCATGAAATTGTGTATTTAACCCATCTCTCTTTAGTTGAGAGAACGACCCTGCCATGTTTTTCCAAACCCATCCGAAAAATAGGGAAAGTAGGAGCCCTGAAGTATGTGCAACACTTCAGCCAATTTCAGCTTGACATTCACAATATTCAGGAAAAGGATATTAATTAGCAGTAGCTATTAGCATATCCCCATTGGCTGTGGCCTCAATTCCATGACAGATGTCCAGTGTATGCACCCTACTTGAATGGAACCAGTTGACTTCCTTCTTTTGATGAATGCTTTAATTAGACCTTTTGGATGGAGGAGGACATTTCCACCACAGACAGGCAGTAAGTTACTCTATCAGGTGTACAAACAAATGCAGATCAGCCAGCTGGTATGTCTGTTGAGAAGCCCAGTTGTGGCATGCTGAAGGGAAGTTCGTTTTTGCCAAGATACACATTTTTGGGCTCAGCTGCTTTTTTTACAATAATAAAAGAGGAAATGAACAAACATCTATTTGCCAAGTCAAACTCAACACTCTCTGAAACAGACTTTTAAAAGGCCCGTTTGAAAAGAGACTTGCCCACTCAAGGTCCTGTTCAGTACCACCCTTAAGAACAGCCATTGCTTTTGGAACAGAACATATTAATGGCTTCAATCATTTCTTGTAATGCTCACGAGGGACCAGAGCCAAGTAGGCTTCAAAGGAGTTCCAGCTCAGAAAAATCTCACATGCAATTTTCAAGATTGATGTCTTCCCTTTGGTGGAAGAGGGCATATGTTGATAGAAAGGTACACATTCTAGTAAGGTGTTGTACAAACAGATGTTCACTGACCACAAGCTACTTGGTTTCTTGCAGTAGTCAATGAAATATTTGACTGCCCACCGCCCTATCCTTTCACATGACTGGCACTTGGATATGTCACAAGCTAAGATCTGAAAAGCGGCCTTCAAAAGCAGTTGGCCGTACAATTGGGGAATAAGTGGCCTGAGGAAAAGGCATTGAAAGCCCTCCTTGGCTCACAAAACTAGTTCCTCATCCTTTTGCTCCTGGCCACCATTTAAAAGTCAGCAGTTGTTATATAACTAGTTATGTAAACTCTTCCTCTAGAATTGTTCTGGCCACATGACTTCCTTCCCCTGAATCACTCTACAAAAATTATATTCCCCACCAAAGGATTCAAACTTCTTGTTCTTTCATAACTGTTAACTTCATTTTGGCCCACACCTCTTTGTTTCATTTTGAAATTAATAGGACTTGCTTCCCATATGTGAGCCTACAATCACAGTCTTACAGTGAGACTTAAATTTCCTGCAAACTCAAATGATCTCTCATAAAAACCTAGATTCACACTTTATCTTTCTGGCACATGTGCATTCATTAAAAAAGTTTTATGAGAATACTTTTTATTTTAAGCCAACCGATATATGAATATATATACACTTCCTTGAAATAAAATGTGGTAAATTAATTTTATGTTGGTGATTTCTATGTAACACCAATTTACTGATTTCCCTCTCCACATGCATCTCTCATATTTATTTATTTGTTGTATATGATATATTCACTTAAGCAAGAATAGGAAGGCATTCTATTTTACAGAGTGCAACAGAGTGCAACAGTCTCCATGAGGTTATTCCTGGAGAGCCAAAAGAAGAATCCATGATTACTTCTTAATTGGTGAACAGAAAGAGAATACATCCTGTGTCCAATCCATCCAATCACACACACACTTCCCATCAGATTTTGCCAGTATGTACCACAGTTCTCTCTATGGATGTAGTATAGCAATAGCATTTTCCTTCTACTTCATTCCCCTATCTCTGCAACAAGAGGGCTGAGATTTTCCTTCTAGAAGGAGGCTTTCCTGAAATTATGCACCTGTATGCATACAAAATTATGAAGCCATATGCATATATAAATGCATCTTCCAGACTGTACAATTTTATAAGAAAGTTTAGCTAGGGGTAACAAGAAGATTACTGCCTATCATGGAGTTAACGTCTTGCCAAAAATGATTCCTCTGTTGATCATGGTGACCTGGACCTGAATTTGGTTGCTATTAAAATGTTTGCTGTATCATCTTGCAATTGACCTGCCCAGCTTCTCTAAAAATCTGTATAAGCTGCCACCGTTGTTATTCACACATGCTAAGAAATTATACCACAGTGCAAGGCTGCAATTTTGAAACCTGATTATTATAAATTCAAAAAGTGAACTGTGCTTTGCCTTGCAGGATTGTGCACATGTGCCTGCCTATAGATTGTCTGCAGTGCTAACACAGCACAGTTAGGGCACAATCCAAACACACGCAGGGCAGATGCAAGTAAGCCTCTGAACGCGGACGTTTGCATACAACCTAGGCCTGGAATAAGGTGCAGCAGTGACGGTCTCTACCATCTCCATGCTGTGCACCAGGAAGTTTCTTTAGATGTCTGCTTTTGACCGTCTAGATTTAGGGCTGGTGAAGGAGAGGGAAAGAGAAACTGATGGAAGTCCTTAGCTTCCTCACCTTCCTACCCCTTGCCAAGCCCCCCTTTTACCCTTCCAAGGCCCGGCTGCACTTGCAACATTGGGAGGTGGGCAGTCAGTGTGGTTGTTTCCATGTCAGCTCTGAAGGCATGGCAGGCAGGGGCCCTCAGTGTTCTGTTAGCTCATGGACCTCCCCAATGATCCCTTACTCTTAAGATCATGGTCAAACACATTTTGGGTGATTGCTTATCTTGCTATGGATGCCACTTGTACCTGATGCCAATGCTGCAGCTTCTTTTCCTTTTTTGGAGCAAATACTTCATGATCCCTATTGTGACTTTTTCAGAGCTTCTGAAATTAGTTTCAGATGCAGACCCAAGGTCTGCCTTTCATGAAATGAAAGGACCTTCTATATGAAGGATTTCACTTGCAGAACGGCCCTCCATACAGTATTTGGGGTCCCTCTCAAACCAGCATTCACCCCATTCAGCAGGGCCTTCTGGCTCTTGATGTAGCATTCTTCGGGAAGCTAGAGGGGCTGCTGGGGGAAAGATGGGATGGGAAAATCCACATTCATGTAGCTTAAATTTAGATCCAACTCAAAGA